AGGGTGATAAATTGTTCTCCTTGACCACCTAGGACAGAACAAGAATCAATGGGCTTAAATTTCAGCAAGGGCGATTTAAGTTAGACACTAGGAAAAACTTCCTAACTTATAAGGGTAGTTAGCACTGAAACAAGTTACCTAGGGAGGTTGTGGAGTCTCCGTCATTGGAAGTTTTTAAGAACCGATTAGACAAGCATCTGTCAGGGATGGTCTAAGTAATACTGAGTCCCGCCTCACTGCCGTGGACTGGACTAGATGACCTATTGAGGTCTCTTCCAGTCCCACATTTCTGTGATTTCCAGAATGAGAACTAGAAAGACTCTTGCACCTTACAGTGCTTAGCAACTGAAATACTGATAGGTTGACTAACTGCTTTTCATTTAGTGTACAGAATCCTACGATATACTTAAAATTTGTAAACTTTAACTTCAGGTCGGTTAAGGTAAAATTCAGTTTTTGTTCATGTATATAAAACATCTAACATCTGCATAAATGTAGGAAGAGTTGAGATGATAATCATTCAATTAATGAAAGTGCCATACATAATTAATTTTATATTAATAAATGATTAATAGAATGGCTTTGTTATAACAATTTATTGCTATATTAATATATATTTATCTATATAATAATTAAATTTATTATATAGGTAAATATATAGCAATACATTTCCGGATGTGATTTGGTGGAGCAATACCTTTTTGACTCAAAATATTCTTTGCATAAAAAATAGCCTAGTCCATTTTCCAGGTTTGAGTAAACAGAACCATGAAAGATCTATGTTACAATATTCCCTACAAAATACTTTCTTTTAATTCAGAGTTAAATGTGCCTAGTGATGGGGATACCATCACTTCATTGAGGAAACTATTCCTATCCCTAAAATCTCTGGTTGAGAAGAATTTCTCATATTTTCTAATATTTTCTAATATAATTCTAATATTCAGCCTAAATTTTCATTTTTAAAAATTACATTCCATTTCTCCTAATTTTGCCTGCCTGAACAACCATAAACATTTCCATGGTTAGCTTTTACACTTTTCTGGACTCTCCAGATTGTCAATATCTTTTGGAATTAATTTCCCAGAAGTGAAAGCAATATCCAAGGTGCAGTCATACCACAGGGGTAGGAAGTGGAACTGTTTCCTCAGTGTTCTTTTGTGTAATGCCTGTGTGTATGCTGGCCCAAATTGTATAGAGCATTTTATTGGCTGCCACGTTGCATTGCTAACTCTTGTCTATTGTTTTGGCCACTGTCACCACTGCATCTCTTTCATCATTGCTGCTTTCCAAATTTTTCCCTCCCATTGAACATCTGTGTTTGGGATTATAAATACCCAGAACAAGCATACTTGCATTTTCATCATACCTAATTTGGTATTCTCTGTGAATTTATTATCTTAATACGTACCCTCTCTCCCAGGTCATTAATGGAAATATAAATATATAAAGTTAAAGGACTCTACAAGTGACAAAATGATTTTTTTTTAGTGCTGCATAAAATCTTTTATAGGAAGCAAGTTCTTTGCTTTTTCCCATTGTGCAACAATGAGGGCTTTATTACTTATTCAAGTTAATAAGGTCTATTTTCCACTACTTAGTAATAGCTCTACTAGTAATTGGATCTGTGTTGGACTCATTGCTTCGAAGGCTTCCCTAAGATAATTATCCATGGATCCTTACTAATGTCATGCCCCAAAATTTACAAATCTTCCTATATTTTATCCCAATATACAATCAGTGGAGAAGAGGTCCAAAAATAATGAAATTAAGTTGCAAGCTTGCATTTGCTACAGAGTGAATAAGATTTATACAATATATAGTAGGAATTATGCAACATAGCAGCACTGTAGTAAAGATAAAATATAATCTGTTATTCAATCATTATTGCTTTATTACCAATCTGAATACTACTGAGCTTGCCTTGGCCCATACCAATCATAACTATTTGATTTGATTTTTTTATTCACTCTTTCATCTTTTGTCTATACCTGGTGTATTTCAAGCAACCAGTGTGTGGCTACTGTTACAAAAATTAAAAATAATATCATCATAGATATATGAACATAAGCACAAAGGGGGAGAAAGAAGAGAAAAGGATAAAAAGTTATAACCCTAAAGAGAGGGATTGCCTTACGTGAAGCACATTACCATTTAAAAGTAAATATGCCATCTTTTCCTTTTTAAAACTGTTTGTCAAAAATTTGTATCTTCTATTAGTGAAATTATATAAACAAACTAATGGAAAATGCATACACCTTTGAGATAATGGCAGAGTTAGAGCATTGTCATGTGATAAATGCCAGTGCAAATACTCTGTCAAAATAAGTCTGTGGACAACATTGCTGTGACAAGATGCTATTCCACTTGCACTATTTATATTGCATCAAATGCAAATAAAGTCAGTTCTGTTCAGATGTCATTATTGGTGCTCTCACTGTAACCAAAGGGTGTAGATGTGCTAGAGTGACAATTTTTCACTTGACCTTTCATAAAAAATTTTTTTTCTGCCTTAGCCACAGTAACTAAAAGAGTATATATTTTTAAATGTTTTCCGTATATTTATTGTATTTGAATGATTGGCTAGAATTATTGCTAATTGTATATAATGGTCAGGTGACCTAATAAATGATTAGTCAGCCCTGGTTTTATCTGGCATGATATGAGACAGCAGTAAAGTTATCCCAATGAAGATATCAGTTTGCAGTGTACTCGGTTTCAAAAGCAGTCAGAAACTGTAAAGCTTGGAAATAAAGGTTTTCTATCTACGCATCCTTTGTTGTCCTGTGTCTGGTGTTGTATATTCTTAATTTTTCCTCTTGAGGTATGGAGACATCAAAGGGGATTGATTTTACAATCCTTTAGGAGAATATACAGTAGTATGGTATGTTTTTCTAGGCAACTCTGTCTTTGCTGGCCTGCCTGAGATACAGAATCATCGAAGACTTTCTCTCAATTTGTAAAAGTTTATTTATGGTCCTACACAAACAACACTGATCTGGGCCAGCACTATATGGGGCAAATAAATTGCATCCTGTGAAGGGGCGTGGCAATTTACATTCCCCCTAAGAAAAAAGAGGGATTTGGGGAGGAATTGTCACTAAGTCACTTCAGAGTTGTAACCCAGTTCCAAGGGCTTCTTCAGGGAAATCACCATACACTGCCCCGTACTCAGTGCTGAGCCTTATGGTTCAATCAAGCCCCAAGAGTGAGAAGAAAATCCTTAACCAACTCAGGACCTGAAGCTATTGAAAAGAAGTTGTCTTTGTAGTCCACAGTGGGGTGACAACTCTCACCAGGAATGAAAACAAAAATGACTTAAAGAATTACAGAAAGACAAGGTGGGTGAGGTAATATTTTTATTGGACCTGCTTCTGTTGGTGAAAAAGACAAGCTTTCAAGCTTAAACAGAAAAAGAGCTCTGTGCAAGCTCAAAATCTTGTCTCTTTCACCAACAGAAGTGGGTCCAATAAAAGATATTACCACACCCACCTTGCGTCTCTCATATCATATCCTGGGACCAACACAGCTGCAACAGCACTGGAAACAAGAATGTAAAGAATTATAGGTGTATTTGGGATAATGTATCTTATAACAGATCCACAGTCCCCCACCCACCTTCCCTGCATGGTTGGAGAATTTTGTATTACTTTATGTGTTACGTTTTCTGTTCCAATGGATGGTTAGATCCATTACATACTGTTACCCTTGCCTGGCTCAGAATGAGCCACCTCACATGGGACTGGTTAGCTGCTGTGAAATTTTAAATCTATGGACAACACACTGTGTATGATGTGATAATTTAGACCTAAATTATATATTGAGGTCCTGACCCAGGTAGCATAAGAACACTGAGATCTCTTATAAACTCAGAATTATGCAGCCATGTAAATTGATTATGAAATAATTTAATTACTTAGTGCGGCTCCTGAAATAAGGTAGTTGGGAATGGGCAGTACCAGAAGAGGCTAAAGCACTGCATAAAAGGGAGTGGGGAGAGGCTTCTAGGAGATGCAGGCAGCCATCCAGGGTTACTAATCCAGAAAGACATGGCGTTCTCTTTCTGCATAGTCTAAGAGGAGAACATGGCAGGTTCTATTCCTTACTGTACAGCTTGTAAAGCTGCACAAGAGCAGTTCTCCACTTCAGTATATTTTAAGTACAGTCCCTCCTCCTGCTCCATCCTCTTCTGCTCCTCAAGCTACTGCATGTCTTTTGCTCCCTTGTTTGCATTGCTAGCCATACAATCCCCTATCCCTTCATGTGGAGCTTATAAAAGAACAGGAAAAAAGGTTACAAGCTGGGAGGATGCAGGAAAATCACTTTTTAAGATTATTTATGTAGCACAAGCAGACTTGTGCTGCATTTTGGTCAAAAGAAAAATTATGCACACATTTGCATGGCTGCATAATTGCATTATGCACAGAGACCTGGCTATGGGAGTTCTCACTAGTAACATGCTAGGAGTACAGACCCAAGGGTATAGAGCTACAATAAATTTGCAAAATTGTCTTGAAAATTTAGCAGCCCAAGCAGAAAATCTACTCACCCATCCTTATGATGATGATAATGGCGGGGTGGTGGGCAGAAAGATGAAATGTTTTGCTTGCCTGTGGTGAAAAAAAGTTACTTTTCCTGAGTAGAATTTCACAAGACTGTATTATAAGATACTTCCTGAGAACACACATTTACAAGTCATTTTCTGTTGAATTTCTTCTGAGAGTAAAATGTTACCTCTTTATGTGTGGACTGCAAACTTAATTCTTCTTCAATAGCTGTAGGCTCTGAGATGCTGCTCTCTTACTAGCTCTTTTTAGTGGTTTGTTTTCAATAGGCTAAATCATTATCTATATAATATGACACATACACACACACACACATATATATTTATGAATGAATGAACAGGTTGGACAAACACCTGTCAAGGGTGGTCTAGGTTTACTTGGTCCTGCCTCAGTGCAGGAGGCTGGACTTGATGATCTCTCAAGGTCCCTTCCAGCCTTCTATTTCTATGAGTATGTAAGATAATCATATAATCTTTCATGATTTGTGTTTTCAGAGTATGTGTAGAAGCCCCATTGCTTGATGGAGTACTCTTTTGGATGGATTGCCTTGCACATAAGTGTGACGTTACCATCGGTGATGTGCACTGTTATCAAAAACAGATCATGCATGTACAGAGCATTTCTCACTGGGCACCTGCTAACATAGGACCTTATAGTCAGTCCATCAAGGTAAGCAATCTTTGTTACTGTATATGAACTATTTACCAGTTAATAAAGTTATCAGCTCTTTTCATTTATTTTAATCTGCATAGAAGAAAAAAAAGTTTGCACCTTTTTGTAATATGTTTTTTTAAAAAACTACAAAAAATGAAAAATATAAGTATATACATTTAACATTTTAAAACCTCTGTGTATGACACCTTTTCAATTCTTTTGCTGCAGTTTATCAAACCATTAACTCTGTGATCATCAGGCAGGGCTAAGGACAATTATTTCTTTCAGAGCATCACTCTGCGCAAAAACAGTATGTTGAGGTTGTACACTATAATTATAACAGTAAGTAATTATAGTGCATGTATATTTCCATATGCTTTCTGAAATTTAACTATTAATTGAAAACATTTCAGGGCATTTTAAATTCTTTATGTTCAAAGACAACAAGTTCACACTTTTTCTTAGGAAATCAACGCTTAAACACATGTAAATGAATTCCCTTATGAGGCTCTAGATATTAGTATTGCAGTACATAAAAGCAAATCAGGATTGATGAAGTATTTAGTATTTTTAAAATTTACATTTAATACAAAGTGGACGGGACAAGATATGTTGCTTAACAAATATGAAAGAGTAGGCAGCCCACTTCCCAACTCCTAATGCCTTCCTGAGTATTAGGGAAAAGTCTTGTCTTTAACCTTGCAAAAGAGAATTTGTATGCACTCTTCTCTCCACCCTCCTGTCTGTACAAAAGAAAGAAGATCTAGCCCAAACTATGCTATTACTAGTAGGAGGATCTCTGACTTACACAATATTTTATTTCATATATTGTAATTCTTCTGAGTTGTCTTCTAATTTGCAAACAAACCTATTATTATACTGCTGCAACAATGTTTTGTTTTGTTTGGTGTTAGCTACATTCCGTGTGTGTGGTGATGGCTTAGGCTAGATATCAGGTGGACTTACCCAGGAAGGACATAGAGGGTGGTTATCACATATAACACATAATTTATCTTTGTTTACCTATTTAAAGAAGGTTCATTTGTCAAGAGTAGGAAGTTGCTTTGGTGGACTTTTTCTTCACTCCATTTTAAACACTCTGGGTCATGCTTTGGCTGGCTCTGCCTGGTTTATTCACGTGAGAAAATGCAAAGAACCATACAGTCATTTTGCACCCGTACTGGGGCAACCACATTCTGTATAGTGCAGAGGTGCTGAACTAAGTGAATATCCTAGACCTGGCACAATCTGGATTCGGGCCAGGACATAGGATCGAAACTACTTTAGTAATACTGGTGGATGATCTTCTGCTGTCAATGAATAGAGGATGGACATCCATTTTCATCCTCAGAAATCTCTGCAGCATCTGATAGTCAACCATAGGATACTGCCTGAAAGAAATGGCAGAGTCCAAAGTAATATGTTTAAATTTTTCAAGTTCTTCCTGGAGAGACGCATTGAAAGAGTAGAGATTGGAAACTGCACCCCCTCTACTAGACCCCTCACTTGTGGAGTCCCAGAAGAATCCGTTCTTTCTCTGGTCCTTTTCAAAATCAACATGAGACCACTAGCTGAACTGATAACACAACATGGACTCAGTGCCAGCAATATGGCGATGACATACAGCTATGCTTATCCTTTACTTCATCTGACCATACCACTACCACCAAGATGGCAGCATGCTTGAGTGAGATCAGTTCATGGATGAAAAACAGCTGGTTGGAGCTAAGCGCAAGCAAAACAGGGGTGATGCTGGTGGACAAGGGTTAGCACTTTGCAGAATTTGCAGTCATGGTGCAGTCTCCTTTGGTTGATGGTACATCCCCACTGTTGGCCAGTTCAGTCTGTAGCCTAGATCCCTCAGTAATGCTAAGCTGTCACATAATAGCATCCACAAGCAATACTTTCTGCCATTTCTGGTTGGCTAGGAGACTCCAGCTCATCCTAGGAGAGGTTATATATGTCTTCAATACCTCCCATCTGAACTACAGCAGTGCAGTATAAGTGGGCACAAAGACATCAGCCCTTAGAGAGCACCAACTAATACTGAACATTCCTTAGCAATACTGACTGCCACAAGCATATCAAACCTATCCCTGGACCTCTACACTGGTTTCCTGTAGAATATCAAGTGAGGTTCAGAGGATGGTCCTCATCTTCAAGGCACTCAATGACCTGGGCCAGGCCTATCCAAAGAATTGCCTTAAGCTCTGTGATGAAGATCATGGTTGACTCTTCCACTCCTCTGGCACACCTGAACTTTCTACCACCAGGGTAAAGCTCGTCTGTGCAGGAGACAGACCTTTCTCAGGTACTGGTCCCAAGCTCTGGAACAAACTAAGTCAGGAACTAAGAACAACCACAAACCTCACCACCTTCCACTTTGAATGCAAAGCACTTTTTTTTAACTCGCCTTCTCTAACATAAACATATAACCGCATGTACATTTAAACACACACACACACACCAAAATTTTCCAAAACAAAACACTCCACTGTCAACATTATTCTCCTCTTAAGGAGAGGATGAGAGAAAGCACAAACCCCATGTGTCCGTTATTAGTCACACAGTATTGTTGTACTTGTGTCGGTTCCCGAATATTAGAGAGATAAGGTGAATGAGGTAACATCTTTAATTGGACCAACTTCTGTTGGTGAGAGAGACAAGCTTTCGACCTGCAGAGAGGTCGTCTTCTGGTCTGGGAAAGGTACTAAGAGTGTCTCAGCTAAATACAAGATTGAACTGGATTTATGGCTTACTATAACAATTTGTAGCGCACTAACCCTCCTTTTTGTTCTATGACTGCAGGGGTGTTAATGGGCCACTCTACCTTGCAGGGTCTCTTAGGATATGTGCTAATTACTTATGCTGAACTATGTGATCTTGTATTTAGCTGTGATACTGATTACACTGCACATTAAAGGGCGGGGTGGGGGAGAGGGAGGCTGTTGTCTGGTTTGCTGGATAGAGATGGTACCTCTTTAAGGGGGAGAGAGAGAGTGATTTTGTGACAGAACATGTCAGCGTGGGCACACTGACCCATTCCTCTCCTCCCCCCGGGTGACTGGAAGAGAAGGGAGGTTATATAAGTACATGCTGAGTAGGAGAAGCCCTCTTTTACCTGAACCAGGCAGAGCAGCACTCACCCTCCCACACATGGAAGTGGCAAAATACCAGGTTTGGTCAGGAACCACTGTGGGCACTGCACTAGTCGTCCTTTCTTGAGCAGTGGACTGAGAAGAAATTTTTCCCTCACCACCAGATTGGCCTAGGCAAAGTGCAGGGATTTTCACCTTCCTCACAGTGGGTTCGTGGGGCTGGAGGGATTCGTTATGGGTAAGCATGGAACAGGAGTTAGGCTGTGATGTTGCAACTAGTTATGTTGACGTGATTGCAGATGTCCAGTGCAGGTACTCCATAACGAAGTGATATAGCAACAGAGAGTCCTGTGGCACCTTTAAGACTAACAGATGTACTGGAGCATAAGTGCGTGAATACCCACTTCGTCAGATGCATGTAGTGATATAATGATCAGATAAATGGATTGGTAAAGGATTTAAAGGCGGTATTCATTAAATGAGCAGAAACAAGGCAGCTTCGGGGCTACTTTGACTGGTACAGTAGGGAGCCAATCCCCTCACCCTTTATGACCCACCTTAACCCTCATTCAAGGTGGAGGGATGGTAAGCTCCCAGCAGCAGGTGTGCTGGGGACCATGATGGGAAAGGGAGAGGGCTGGCAGAAGTCCACCAGATATGTATTGAAATGATCATGGAAATACCTGCACTATACATGTTTATCTGCTGGGTACTCCCAGACAGTTAATAACCAAGTTGCAACCACATCCAGTGTCTTCTGTCCTTCTTCTGGCATAGCTGGACAATCTAAGAACCTTTCCCAGGCTTTAAGAAGAGCTCTGTGTATCTTGAAAGCTTATCTACTACAGAAATTGGTCCAATAAAAGATATTACTTCACCCACCTTGTCTTTCTAAGATGTTAGTCATGTCACTTACCTCACTACTGGAAGATGGTTAGATACCCTACAATAGTAAGGGCAGTATAAGAAACTGTATATAATAGAATAGAACTAGTGCTAATGTTTAATCCAGCCTCCCTGAAGAGGATGGATTGAAGATAAGGTGCCAATCCTGCTTCCCCTTACTTGCCACGCTGGCCAGAAGATGAAAGAGAAAGCACATGCGCTGCCCTTTCAAAGGGTTATGGATACTCACTTGTAAAATTCAGTCAAAATTCTTTTAGGGCTGTTCCATTGCTGCATGGCCTATTTATCTATGATGTCATATCTTTGAAAATGCTGTTGCCCAGGCTATTTATCTGTGATGTAAAATCTTCAAAAATGTTGTTTCCCAGGATTAATATTCTCTTTCTCTTCACTGATTGATATGCTAAGCATCCTTGACTTCTTTGCTCTCTCTATTTTGCAGTAATCTAACTACAAAAAAAAAAAAACCTACAAGATTTTGTCTTGCTTATTTCAATCAGAAAATTATCTTCTTTTTTTCTAGTGTAACTTTATTTTATTTTATCAAAAATGTGTATCTGTTTACTAAAATAGCATATAAAATATATACCCTAAAATTTATTCTTGAAAACACCTTACTGAAAAATACACAAATGCACAATGCAACATACTTACCTTTGGAAGTATGTCAATTTTAAGCTCAAATATGGGTCCCATATAATTTTGAATGTACCTTTTACAAAGTGAAAAGCTTCTAGTTGCCTGTGTTTGGAAATCTATTGAAGCTAGATGCGTGAACATGTTATTCAGTTCTTTGTAAAGTCGCTGGCAGAACAATTTTAGTAAAGCATTTCAAAATTGGTTTTTGGAATAGACTATTTTCCAGTATGTATGAAGTTTGGGGGTTTGATTTTATAAGTATAGTAACAGGGATAGATTGGGAAAGATAAAAATCCTTTGCGCATCATCCTGGAATGTTGACATTTTGATCAATCTTGCATCTTTGAAGAGCAGAAATTTACGGATCTTGTA